TTCGATAAAGTTCAATACTGTGCATGTTGTTTGACGTTCCTAACAGAACCCAACAGCTCCACCCCCTCATTCCTCACTCAAACCTTAGAGCCCTCCCCCATTCCTACCTCATCGTCTGAGACTGCATCTCATCCACCCCCACTAGCTCGATCCCTTCCGGCCCTTCCTTCTTCCTCATCCCCATAGGATCAGGCGCAGAGCACGGCTGGTTCAGAGCCCCTGCAGCTTGACTACCCCTCTTCGGAGCCCCTACAGCTCGACTACCCCTCTTCGGAGCCCCTACAGCTCGACCATCCATCTTCGGAGCTACCACCGACACGAGAGGGCCCGACCTGTAATAGCCCGCTATGTTATTAATAAATTACATGTTTTGTTCCGAAATATTTATTTTTATCGATCATTATCATTCGGAACTAATTATTCCAGTCAAGAACGTTCGAATTAATTTTCGAAGTCACGTATATGCTCGGAATATGTTCTAAGTATTTAAGTTTATGTATTATAAGTTAATCCATGTTCAATTATATGTTAAGACCAATTCCGAGCCTAATCATGTTTAAGAATGCGCTACTCGCCGTGCACTAACAAGAGGTTATGACAATTGTGTTTCATTATGACTAATGCATGCTAAGTACCAAAAAATCCCTTGTACCGTGTGGTTATGCTTGGCTTATTCCAATTGCACATTAACTTAGCCAAAGCATGCTTGAGGTACGCTTAGTACACCAACTTGCCGTAAGTTTTGTAGCAAAAGTTTCATGTGCCTTCATCATTTCACTTGGACATGTGGAAGCTTGAGACTTCATTTAGTGATGACTAAGCAAGGAATTAGATGAGTAAGCATGTAGCAAGCCACCTATACCTCCTCAAGCGCGGCAAGTGGCCAAAGCTAATTGGCTAAGCCAATTACTTCACGCTTTACCTCTCTTTACCATCTTTCATCTTCTATTTATGCGAAAGGTTGGAGTGAAAATTCAGCATATACTTCAGTTATACACTAAGCACAAGATTTAGATAAATTAAGCTAAATTAAGAGTACCGCACGCACGCACAGACGAGCTAGGCCGAGTGATCAAGGAAGTTTTGCAAAAATTTACCGAGCAATTGAGGAGGTAACATCATCTTAACCTTCTTTTGATGATATAATCATGTCAAGTTCAAGCCATGTTATTCGGTTCATGTTAAAGCCATGTTAAGCTCGATTTAAGGCAAGTTAAGTCATTCCAAACCATTTTGATTTCAAGCCGCCAACTCTCGGACAATTCATGTTTATTCGGTCAATATATGTCATTCAATGTTCTGTTATGTAAGGATTGTCGAGAGAAATCATTAATTAGTCGAAGTATTGGCCAAAGCCGTAGGCTACGCACATAGCGCACGTCCACGGCCATCCATGTTCCATTAGTCATGTTAAGTATTGATTCGTTGGGCAAATTATGTGTGTTTGTTCATGTCATGTTGGGTTATGTCGTTTTAAGTCAAAGTTTTCGGAGGAAGTAGCCGGACGGCCGGTAAGTATCGGTCGTGGTTGCCATGCTCGCACGCAGCGGGTACGGCACGCCGACAGTCAGGTAGGTCGAGCGGGTGGTGTATGTGTGTGCTCAGATGGGCGTCACGTACAGCCTGCCTGCAACAGTCATCAGTTGGCAGTGCCTAGCGCACGCCAGCACGCCCCAGCGCACGCCAGTGCGCCCAACAGCATGCCAGTCGGCCTCGAAAAGTGCCCGACAGCACGCTCGAGTGCCGTGTGCTGTCAGGGTCACTCGGTAGGACCCGATGGGCACCCGTCACACCAGCCACGCACTCAGAGTTCGCGCCAGTCGCCTGTTGCGGCTCGGTAGCGCCCAGCAGCGCCAGTCGCGTAAGAGCCGGCGCCCATAGCGCCCGGCAGCCAGCGTCATGTCTGTGATGCGCCAGACGCACGCCAGCCTTCCAGGTTACGTCCGGTCAGGCCAAGCTAACGCCTGTCGTGCCCAGCCAGGTTTATGTCACGCCAGTCGTGCCCAGTGGCACACCAGCATGCGCGGATGCCAAGACCCATGCCAGTCCGTGCCCAAGTCATACCCCGCAAGGCCCGGCAGCATCATGCCGCGCCCAGTCCATGCAAGCGCATGTGCCCGAGGCTTTAGCAGGCCAGTTGGCCGAGCCAGCGACCGATTGCCCGGCCACAGCAGGCCGGCGGTCCGGCCATACCCCAGACCGGCCGGATCGGACCAGTTTAGGTCACAGATTAATGATTAATAATCCGATTCATGTTTATGACCAATTTTCAGATAAATTTCGGGTCCGGTCAAGTTCAGTAAATTCATGTTAGTTCAGTTCCGATTATACTGGTTAAGTTCAAATATCATGTCAAGTTCAAGTCGAGCATCTTAACATATTAAACAACTATTTTAATTAGTCTGAGCATAGTACTTTGTAATTGTTTATATTATGTTACAGTTTGATCAGGCTACTGTTATCAACACTACCATTTTCATATCGACGGTTCAGGTGGGGACTCAGACTGGGTATTACATTGATTATAATTACGGTATCATGTTTGAGGTATGTATCATGCTATGTTATGTATCCGCTTAGAATGGTCGCCGGTCCATTCTGGATTCTAGTGGCCTAGTCTGCCCACTAGAGTGTGCACATAGTGTCCGGCATTTTCATGCTGGCAGATGAGGTAACGGTCATGTGATGGCAATGGTTTACCGGTATCATGCTATGTTATGTTTATGTATATATCAGGATCATGATATTGCAATTATTTTCACTATTTACTTTAGTATGAGTTCCTACGGAGCAGTGGACTTTAGTGCTCACGCCCCATGTTATCTATGTTCTTCAGGTCACAGAGTTGGACCAGAGGAGTGAGCTGGCAGGCGGTTTAGGATTTTAGTTTACATGTTTGAATTTGGCATAGCAGTGCTGTTACTATCTCCCGTAGTGGAGTTTAAATATTTTGCCACGCTACGTTTTCCGCTGACTTTTACTGTTTGTTATACTTAGCCTTTTGATACGTTTACCAGTCGGATTGTTTATATTATGATAAACGGTTTTCCTGAAAAACTATAACGGATTTCAAAGTACAGCATCGGTTTATGGTAGCACTCCGAAACATGATCTCGCAAAGTAATCAGTAAGTTCTAATAAAAGGTTTTGCGAAAATTTAACTCTGTTATTTATGACATAGCGGGGTGTTACAGTTGGTATCAGAGCACGTTTCTGCGTCTCTGAAAACTTTTACGAGTGAGAAATTTTTATAAAACATGAACACGTCATGCTCACGCCCCGCCGACTATAGGTAAGTGCTGATTCATGTTTTAAATTATAAACAAATTACTATGTCTATGCTCAGAAAACCACAGTTATGACTTAGTTAGGATGCTCGAGTCATGTTCAGGAATTATGGTTCAGTATATTCAGGATTAATGTCAATATTTCCATGCCATGTTAAGCAACTCGTCAAGAGATTTGTGCGCTTTATTAATCAGCTAAAGTATTATCCCTGTGTCTGATAATGTTGAATATTTTCAATATTCAGATGTCGCCACGTAGGGAGCCAGATCATCCGGCGGTCCCTCAGGCCACTTTAGTCGCTCTTTCACGACTATCATCCCGAGAAATTCTCCGGCCAGGGAGATCCTCGAGTCGTTGACGAATGGGTCAAAGGCCTTGAAATGATTTTCGAGGTCATGGACTGTCCCGAGCGTTATCGCGTTCTATGCGCACAGATTCAATTGACGGGTGACGCACGTCTCTGGTGGAACGCCTACTGGGGAATGCGTCCAGGTGAAAAGGAAGGCTGTACGTAGGACAGGTTCAAGGAGTTAATTCGCGAGAAATATTACCCCGCGTACTATCAAGCTGAAATGGAGCGTCAGTTTCTGGCACTCAAACAAGGTACTCGTTCGGTGGACGAGTACGAGCGAGAGTTCACTCCACTTGGAGCCTTTGTTCCCGACCTGGTGAGCACAGAGGCAAAGAGATCGAGACGTTTCACTGACGGGCTTTTGCCAGCAGTCCATCATAACATTGTAGGTCACAGCATCCAGACTTATGCCCGTACTGTCACCATAGCTCAGGAGGTTGACGCCAGCATCTGTAGGGAGGCCAACCATGATCGTCTTCAGCCAATTGCCCCTGCCCAATCTTCACCAGTTCCACCAGCTGCTACCCAACAACCAAAGGACAAGAAGAGAAAAGGGAAAAGATTTCAGAATGACAGGAGGAACCGTCAGAGACAACAAGGTGCTCCCAGGCCACAGCAGATTCCACCATGCACTACTTGCCGACGACCCCATCGAGGAGAGTGTCATTTCGGCCAGAACATTTGCTATTATTGCCATCAGCCCGGACATTTTTTCAACAACTACCCAGAGCGACCGCAGCCACGACAGCAGCCACCACAGCAGCCACAGCAGCAGCAGCAGCTGAGACAACAGGCCCCGAGGCCACCCTAGCAGCAGCAGAGGGGCAGACAGCAGGTTCGTGTTTATGCTGTTGATCAGGTCGAGGCGAAGCAGCACCCAGGTACTATGTCTGGGATGATTATGCTTAACGATGTTCCTGCCTTCGCTTTATTTGATACTGGAGCAACCCGCTCTTTTATATCGCGACGATGTCTTGATGCCATTGGAGTACATTCTATTACCGCTGTCGATCCTCTCGAGGTGAGTTTAGCCTCGGGACGAAAGATAGTGACCGATGCCAAATCTACTGATCTCAGCCTTTCTATCGGTGGTCGTATCTTGTCTACCGACGCTTATGTTCTCGAGATGAGGAACTTTGACCTCATTCTCGGTATGGATTGGCTAACATATTTTCATGTACATATTCGATGCCATGATCGAGAGATTACTGTTTATCTCCCGGGAGATAATCCTATTACTTTCTTTGGTACCAAGACTCATTCTTTACCTCATGTTATTTCCATGGCGAAAGCCAAGAAGATGTTACAACGAGGTGATTGTCATGGTTATCTTGTGAGTCTTGTTGAGGATAGACCGAAAGCACGGACACCTCACGACGTTCCTATTGTTCGTGAGTTTGTGGATGTGTTTCCGGACCAACTTCCAGGAGGACCACCTAACCAGCAGGTAGAGTTCTCTATTGATCTTATTCCAGGAGCCGGCCCAGTTTTCAAAGCCCCTTATCGAATGGCGCCGAAAGAATTGCAAGAGCTTAAGACTCAAATCCAGGAGTTATTGAAACTCAGTTTTATTCGACCGAGTGTTTCACCATGGGGAGCACCCGTTCTTTTTGTCAAGAAGAAGGACGGTTCTATGCGCATGTGTATCAATTACCGGGATCTTAACCGGTTGACTATCAAGAATAAATATCCGCTTCCCAGAATGGACGACTTGTTCGACCAGCTAAGGGGAGCCTGTGTATTTTCCAAGATTGATTTACGATCAGGTTACCATCAGCTGAAGATCAAGGAGTCTGACATTGCAAAGACAGCTTTTCGTACTTGGTACGGTCATTACGAGTTCGTAGTCATGCTATTTGGCCTCAATAATGCTCCAGCAGTATTTATGGACCTGATGAACCGTATCTTCCATCCTTATCTTGATCAGTTTGTTATTGTTTTCATTGATGATATTCTAATCTACTCCAAGAGCCAGAAGGAACACGAGGAGCATCTGAGGGTCGTTCTTGAAACCCTTAGACGTGAAAAGTTATATGCTAAATTCTCCAAATGCAAATTCTGGCTCCAGCGAGTAGCCTTTTTTGGCCATGTTATCACTCAGGCAGGTGTCGAGATGGATCCATCCAGGGTTGTCCCTGTTCAGAACTGGTCGACACCGAAGACTCCATTCGAGGTTCGCAATTTTCTTGGTTTGGCTGGTTACTACCGCAGGTTTATCGAGGGCTTTTCCAAGATTGCCCTTCCTTTATCCCAGCTGACGAGGAAATCTGTGAAGTTCGAGTGGACAGATAGATGTGAATCAAGCTTTCAGGAACCCAAGAAGAGGCTTACCACAGCACCGGTGTTGACTATTCCCAATCCTTCTCGGAGTTTCACCATTTTCAGTGATGCTTCGAGACAGGGTTTGGGATGCGTACTTATGCAGGATGGCCAGGTCATTGCTTATGCTTCACACCAACTAAAGCCACATGAATAGAACTATCCTACGCACGACTTGGAGCTAGCCGCAGTTGTTCATGCCCTCAAGATTTGGCGACATTATTTATACGGCGGTCGATGCGAGAATTTCACTGATCACAAGAGCTTACAGTATATTTTCACTCAAAAGGAGCTCAATATGCGTCAACGTCGTTGGTTAGAACTTGTCAAGGACTATGATTGCACTATCCAGTACCATCCGGGGAAGGCGAATGTCGTTGCTGATGCCCTAAGCCGTAAGGTGAAGGGTGACTTGACTTATGTCGTTACTCAGCAGAACCGTCTTATCCAAGAGTTCGCCCGGATGCAGATTCAGGTTGTTGATGCACTTCCTACAGCGAGCACGGGGAGTGTCAGTTCTATGCAGGTTCAGCCTACGTTGAGGGAAAGGATCTGGCGGGAGCAGGCTTCTGATGAATTTGTTCGTGCTATTGACGCCAAAGTCCGAGCCGGAGGCGTTGAGGGTTTTCACCGAGGCGCTAATGGAGCCTTGGAGTTTCGAGGCAAGATTGTCGTACCCAAAGTCGAGGCGTTGCGGAAAGAGATACTGACCGAAGCTCATACCGCACCATATGTAGCCCGCCCAGGGAGCACGAAGATGTATCACGACTTGAAAAAGTCGTTTTGGTGGCGAGGGATGAAGAAGGACGTAGCCAACTTTATGAGGAAATGCTTAACCTGTCAGCAAGTCAAAGCCGAACACAAGAGTCCCTTGGGCCTTCTGCAACCAATCGAGATTCCGAAGTGGAAGTGGGAGGAAGTTACGATGAATTTTGTCATAGGGTTGCCGAGGTCGTCTGAACATCACGATGCTATTTGGGTCATGGTGGAAAGATTGACTAAGGTTGCTCATTTCTTACCAGTATCGATGAATATGTCTTTGGACAAGTTGCTGAGATTTACACCCGTGGGATCATTCGACTCCACGGAGTGCCCGTTACTATCGTGTCAGACAGAGATCCCAAATTCACCAGTAGATTCTGGGAGAGTTTATAATGCAATGGGCACAAGACTAGAGTTCAGTTCAGCCTACCATCTAGAGACTGACGGACAAACTGAGCGGACCATTCAGACATTGGAGGACATGCTACGAGCTTTGGTTGTTGACAGGGGTGCTAAGTGGGAGTCTTTATTGCCATTGGTCGAGTTTGCTTACAACAACAGTTATCATGCTTCTATTCATATGGCTCCTTATGAGGCACTTTACGGTCGTAAGTGTCGTTCCCCTCTTTATTGGGGCGATGTCGGTGACCGTCGAGTACTCGGTCCTAATATGATCGAGGAAACCGCAGAACAGGTGGAGTTGATCAGGCAAAGGTTAAAGACAGGTCAGAGTCGGCAAAAGTCATCAGCCGATCAGCATCGACGAGATATTCAGTTTGAGGTTGGGGAGCGAGCCTTTCTTAGAGTTCGTCCATTCCGAGGGATCGTTCGATTCGGGAAGAGAGGAAAGTTGCATCCTCGATTCATTGGCCCGTTCGAAGTTCTCGAGTGAGTGGGCGAAGTTGCTTATCAATTGGCCTTACCTCCCGAGTTGTCTAATGTTGATAATGTTTTCCATGTATCCATGTTACGCAAGTACGTGTGCGATCCAGACCATGTCCTTCAGCATACCGATATTCATATTCAACCAGATTTATCTTACGAGGAGAGACCGGTAGCTGTACTGGACCGACAGGTTCGTCGGCTCTGGAAACGTGATGGTCCCCTCGTTCGTATTCAGTGGGATCGCTACGGTGCCAATTGGGAGCAGGAGGCTGATATTCGCGCTCGTTTTCCAGATTTCAATTTTGATGTATATGTTTTCTCATGTTCTATGTATATATGTTCCGTTTTGGTATTTGCGAGGACGAAAATATTTTAAGGAGGGCAGATTGTAATAGCTCGCTATGTTATTAATAAATTACTTGTTTAATTCCGAAATATTTATTTTTATTGATCATTATCATTTGGAACTAATTATTCCAGTCAAGAACGTTCGAATTAAATTTCGAAGTCATGTTTATGCTCGGAATATGTTTTAAGTATTTAAGTTTATGTATTATAAGTTAATCCATGTTCAATTATATGTTAAGACCAATTCTGAGCCTAATCATGCTTAAGAATGCGCTAATCGCCGTGCACTAACAAGAGGTTATGCCAATTGTGTTTCATTATGACTAATGCATGCTAAGTACCAAAAAATCCCTTGTACCGTGCGGTTATGCTTGGCTTCATCCAATTTACATTAACTTAGCCAAAGCATGCTTAAGGTGCGCTTAGTACACCAACTTGCCGTAAGTTTTGGAGCAAAAGTTTCATGTGCCTTCATCATTTCACTTGGACATGTGGAAGCTTGAGACTTCATTTAGTGATGACTAAGCAAGGCATTAGATGAGTAAGAATGTAGCAAGCCACCTATACCTCTTCATGCGCGGCAAGTGGCCAAAGCTAATTGGCTAAGCCAATTAATTCACGCTTTACCTCTCTTTACCATCTTTCATCTGCTATTTATGCGAAAGATTGGAGTGAAAATTCAACATATACTTCAGTTATACACTAAGCACGAGAGTTAGATAAATAAGCTAAATTGAGAGTACCGCATGCACGCACAGACGAGCTAGGCTGAGTGATCAAGAAAGTTTAGCAAAATTTACCGAGCAATTGAGGAGGTAACATCATCTTAACCTTCTTTTGATGATATAATCATGTCAAGTTCAAGCCATGTTATTCGGTTCATGTAAAAGCCATGTTAAGCTCGGTTGAAGGCAAGTTAAGTCATTCCAAACCATTTTGATTTCAAGCCACCAACTCTTGGACAATTCATGTTTATTCAGTCAATATATGTCATTCAATGTTCAGTTATGTAACGATTGTCGAGAGAAATCATCAATTAGTCGAAGTATTGGCCAAAGCCGTAGGCTACGTACATAGCGCACGTCCACGACCATCCATGTTCCATTAGTCATGTTAAGTATTGATTCGTTGGGCAAATTATGTGTGTTTGTTCATGTCATGTTGGGTTATGTCGTTTTAAGTCAAAGTTTTCGGAGAAAGTAACCGGACGGCCGGTAAGAATCGGTCGTGGTTGCCATGCTCGCACGCAGCGGGTACGGCACGCCGGCAGTCAGGTAGGTCAAGCGGGTGGCGTATGTGTGTGCTCAGACGGGCGTCACGTACAACCTGCCCGCAATAGTCGTCAG